ACGTCCTTCTTGTAGTGAGGGGCCCAAAACTGAACACAGTATTCGAGGTGCGGCCTCACCAGTGCCGAGTACAGGGGCACGATCACTTCCCTGCTCCTGCTGGCCACACCATTTCTGATACAGGCCAGGATGCCCTTGGCCTTCTTGGCCGCCTGGGCACACTGCTGGCTCATGTTCAGCCGGCTGTCGACCAACACCCCCAGGTCCTTTTCCGCCAGGCAGCTTTCCAGCCACTCTTCCCCAAGCCTGTAGCGCTGCATGGGGTTGTTGTGGCCCAAGTGCAGGACCCGGCACTTGGCCTTGTTGAATCTCATACAGTTGGCCTGGGCCCATCGATCCAGCCTGTCCAGGTCCCTCTGCAGAGCCTTCCCACCCTCGAGCAGATCAACACTCCTGCCCAATTTCAGATTTAAAGGATGTCAGTTAATGCAGGCTTTAAAACTAAAGGCAAAAGAAAGCTCTGAGGGAAAAAAAAAAATACTTCCAAGATAAACCATAATTAGGCCACCACGGCCTAAGTCCCCTGCAAAGAGGCCACATCTCAAGTACTGCTGCTGCCCAGGGAGGAATAAAACCCTTGGCAACGATGTTAAAGGACATGCACAAATTCCTGTTTCAGCACGGCCTTGTGAAATAAGGTGCAGCAGTTACCAGCTGCTGTGGATTGGCCTTACACTGCTTTGAGAAAAGACAAGTTGTGATCTCTGTTTCAGTTTCCTCTTTGATCGAATAGCATTTACTTACACGGTAATATTTTGAAATCTTACAAATGAGAAGACTCCAATTCGGGACAATATATAAGCATATATAGACTTCCTATCCTGAACATGCTAATTGAAGCATTTTGTGCAAATCCTTGAGTTACAATCAGGACAAGTCAAGGAGAAAAAAAAAAAAATCAGTTGTTACAGACACTGATTATCTCTGGAAGACGAAACATTATTCACACCACAAACTTCTTCCTTAAACAAACAAACAAACAGAAGGCATTGACAGAAAACACATTAGTTTTCTTATCAAAAAAGCTGACCCTCTAGTGAACTTCACTCTGTACAAAAAAGTGATTGTGATATCAGTCCTTTATAAAAATCTCTTCAGTACCTCCTTTCATGCAGTTAGCAGGCAAATCCAATTTTTCTGAATCCCTCTATTCAACCTCTTAAGCAGCAGGTTAGTATGGAAGAGTGGTTATCATAACATTCTTCTTTTCTTACCCTGACTAAAACCACTGGATTAATTTAACCTTAATTACATTATCATAGATACTCAGTGAGCTAGAAATATTGTTGAGACAAGGGAAATTGCTCGACAAAGAACCATTAATTTCAGGATCTTACCCATTAAGTAAAAGAAAGGCTCTGAGACTTGACAAACTACAGGGAAGTAGGCAAAGGTGAACGAGAGTTACAGTTTCATACACACAAGCTCTACGAAGTTATAGTCCAATCAACTTTTATCAAAAAAAACTCCAACAGGGTTACATTTGGTGTTGCATGGAAGCAGCTTGCTAACAAAAAAAAATGAACCTCAAAGCATCAGAGTTGCGGGGAAAAGCGGTTATCTTAGAGAAGACTGAGACAGAGAGTTTGTAACTCAATTGAAGTCACGATGGACATCAGTGGAAAAAATTCACAACTCTGATGTCCCACCGAAGAAACCACGAGAATATTTATGCCTGTAACACTTCTAGATTAAAAAAAGGGATTTTTAAAGCCTCCCGACTATAGCGTTGTGCAAGGAGAGAGCAGCACCCCTCACTGTTCGGTCCCTACCTAGCGCACATGCATACCGTTTTCCCAAAGATGTTTTTTTCACCATGAGGGCAGTCCAGCAGCAGCACAGAGAGGCTGTGCCGTCCCGATCCCTGGAGATTTTCGAGGCCAGAAGGGATGAAACCTCCAGCACCCCGGCCCCACCTCAGAGCTGACCCTGCTTTCAGCGGGTTGCACTGTGAACCACCTGAGGCCCCTTCCCGCATGAACGACCCCGCGATGCGGTAGCGCTAGGGCCCGAAACCCTCCCATTTCACCA